CCCACTAAGGGAATAGAGTCTCTGGCCTGGGTAGAGATTCAGCCTTCCAGTTGGGCAGTGTCAATCACCTGACCAAGGGACCACCCCTAGGAACAGGAAGGAAGTTCACCTCTAGCCACACTGAAGAGAGCGGGAATTTTAATAAGATACTCTATTTTTCCTTCCCAGCATCCTGCCCTCTAGCACTCCCTAAAAGCTGCCCTGCAGTTCCTTGTGTCTGCCCATTGAGTCCTGACTCAGAGAGTATACCATTCCCCCTTTCTCTTTCTGACTTTTTCTTTCAGATGCTGCCAGAGCCTAAGAGTGCTTTTTCTGACACTCTGGCTTCCTTTCTCTTTCTCTAAAGTCTCCATCCCGACCATGGGACTGCTTGTCTGCCGTGCTTCTGACCTCCATGTCCGCTGAACTCAACAGCATGGCTTTCCCCCCTTTTGCCCCCATTCTCCTCCAAGTAGCTACTGAGATTTATAGTTTGTCTGTGGTGTGTGTGTGTGGGGCGGGGAGTCTATTAAAGTATAATAAATTGCCCTCAAGCTTCCCTTTGAATCCATTCTGTTATGTATAATATTTATTTTATTTTTTAATGTGTGTTTATGTATGCATGTATATATGTGTATATGTGTGTATATACGTGTGTGGTGTGTGTGTGTGTGTGTGTGTGTGTGTGTGTGTGTGTGTGTGTGTGTTCAAGAGTTCAGGTGCCCACCCACAGAAGTAAGAGGCAGTGGATACCCTGGAGTTGTGAGCCACCTGATGTAGATGCTAGAAATTAAATCCAGGTCATGTGGAAGAGCAATATGTGCTCTTAGCTGCCGAGCCATCTCTCTGGCTCCCTTGAGTTCATTTTGATATTAATTTATTAATGAAACTAAGAGTCCCAAGAAAGAACCCTGCTTTTTCCTTGGTATCGTCTGGTAGTCCTTAAGGGATTCTCCAAAATTTCCAGTAACAGAATCGGAAGATAGCTGATGTGAGGCCATACCATCACAGTGTTAGGGGTCCATCACTTATGGGGTCAAAATGAGAAAGTTACTCCCTCCTCAATCTGCAGTGTCTAATAAGTCCTTGGGCCTGGTTTCTCTGATATGATTTTAATACACTCATGTCTAGCAGGCTGCAAAAATATGTTATAGATATTCAGCTGTATATTAAAGCTATACCTAGAAATTTCAAGGCATTTTTCTAGAGGAAGCCATTTATCAAGGAATATTTGGTGTTTTTCAGTTTTTAATATACCAACTATCTTCTACTGTGAAATTCTCATGTGCCCATATACTACTAGGACATATTGGCAAACAGCTAAGCTTCTCAGACCTACTGCTGATCCACTAGGTAACTAACACCCCTGCAGGGTCTAGGAGACAGACAGGCTATAAATGCATAGCTTTGCTTCTTGTACAAATGAAGCTCAGACCATCCCTTTCCTTCAGGCCTAGTAGCATTGCAGAGCTATTGACTCAGGACAATAGGGCTTTTTTCACAACCAGGTGCAGTAAAGACTGGAGCGGAATTCCAGGGCAGGCAGAGAGCCACGTGGCCAGAGGAAAACAGAACAAGGAGAGATTCTGTAGATGGCAAGGCAGAATGGCTTAGGCTGAGGAGTGAGGAGCAAGGAAAAGTGTAGATTGTAGGTGAATCCGGTCAGGAGAGGAGAAGAGGGAGGAAAGGTGGAGGATGAAGGAACAGAGGACAAAGATGAGATGAAAAGCATAAGGGCTTAGTTATTACTAGGGCTATGAGGGGACAGAAAAAGTAAGTTCCTTGGACAGGAACTGAATGTCAGGGCGGAACTGAAGCTGTGTAGTTAGAATTCTGTCTTAGAGAAATAAAGTAAATGGACATAAAAGCATGGTATACATAGATTCTTTTCCCTCAGATAACCCCACACTGGACATAGTGTCTTCCCCAGGACTCTGGGATGAATCTTCTCAGGGCAGGCCCTTGGGAAAATTCCGTTACTCATGTGCCACGGCAGTTGGATCCCTTTCTGCTCCTTGGAACAGTCATTATCATATGTGCTATATGGGTGGTGTCACACAGGTATAAGATTTGTGGGTCGCCGGGCGGTGGTGGCGCACGCCTTTAATCCCAGCACTTGGGAGGCAGAGGCAGGCGGATCTCTGTGAGTTCGAGGCCAGCCTGGGCTACCAAGTGAGTTCCAGGAAAGGCGCAAAGCTACATAGAGAAACCCTGTCTCAAAAAAACCAAAAAAAAAAAAAAAAAGATTTGTGGGTCAAAGGGCTACAGTCATCATTCTCCCTCAAAACAGAGTAAAAATCTGCTGGTGGGTTGGGGATTTAGCTCAGTGGTAGAGCGCTTGCCTAGCAAGTGCAAGGCCTTGGATTCGGTCCTCGTTTAAAAAAAAAAAAAAAAAAAAAAAAAAAACCTGCTGGTAAAATGGGGTCTCCCGAACAAGCCATAGTCTGAAAACAGCAACAACAGCAACAAAAAAGCACTGTTTTATATCATGTGCAGTAACTTACAGAGGGACACAGCCTGATAGCAACCCCGATATTACTTCTCTCTTTGTTTGTCCTTATTGAGGATGAGTCGCTGGGCTTATCTTGTTAGGTCTGCCAGGCACCAGGCTCTGACAGAACAGTTATAGTAACATCACCTTCACTCTGACTGTAGAACAATAGTAAGTCATCATTCTCAACCTTTTCTCTTAAATTCCTTGAATTCCCAGAACTGCCGAGCCTCCCAGAACAAATTCCCTGCCCAGACGGCAGTTACCCATGATGGTAAGGTTGCACCCTGAAGCAGAAATAACTACGTCCAAAGAACCACCTTACCCCCTCCAACAACAGGACTTCTTTGGACCACTTTGCAGGACCAGAGCTGAGACAAGGATGGGTAGGACCACACCTTGACCAGGACTGCTTAAGCATGCATACATCCTGTTCTCTGCCTCAGTTCTTCCTCAGCTTAAATCTAAAGCTGGTGTTAGAACTCCTGAAAATGGACACAGACACTGGACCTATCTGTCTATTTCTGTTTTCTCTCTGATCCCTTTGAACAAATCTGTTTTTCACCATTATTTGTATCCTTATTGGTTGTATGGAGGCGGGAGATGGCCAACCATAGCCTATGGAGACTGCCAGCCCTGGGGTTTGCCCTGAAAACTCCATCTCTAGGTTCAGTCCTGAGAAAATGCTCCCACTCCAGACTCCGGTCCCAAGTAGTAGGTTGTCACCTCCACTTCTAACTGGCCATAAATTGGGGATTGAAATGACCACATATTGGGCTCAAGTACTTTGTTAGAGTGACTCACAGAATTCAAGACAATACTTTACCTACATTTATCACTTATAAAAGTTATACAAAGGATGCAGATAATGAGCCAAGGGAAGAGATGTGTCCACCCATGTGGAAAGATAGGGAATGAAGTGCCCCACTGTGAGAAATGGGTGTTTTGTTGTTGCTGTTTAATCAAAAGTAGTTATCCCAGCAAGGACTTCTATTTCCTGAGCCCCCTCCTTTCCCCTTGTGCCAATTAGCCAATCACATCCGAGTGTGAAGTTTGAGCTCCTGCTGGTGAGATGAGATGCGGTCCCCACCTACATCAGGGATAAAAGGCAGAAGTCATGTTGACCTCGGTATGCTACTAGCCAGGTTGGGAATCTGGTATCTCCTTTTTGGAAAAAAAAAAAAAAAAAAAAAAAAAAAAGGACTTGCTTTGCTGAGATACTTCTGCTTTTTTGCTGAGATACTTCTGCTTTGTATGCTCCTTTGTGGGACACTGAGGTTGCTATTTTTAACACTCGCTTTAGGAACATCCACATATGAGCTCTCTGAAAGCGTCCCCTAACCTGGTCCTTTTCATGGGGCTTCATTACACAGGCTGATGAGATGGCTGGCCTTTGAGGACCAGCTGAACTTGCAGCCCTTCATCGCTCCCAGGAGCAGGAGTGAGGCTTTGAGTTTCAACCCTCTAATCTTCTGGTTGGTGTCCCTAGCAACCAGCTTTCCAGCCAGTGGTTACTTAGGAACTTTCCAGAACTTTTCTCACTAATATAAACTCATGCACTGCGGAAAGGGTTTTTCTATTAATATCAAAGGACACGCGTCTATCTTTACCACCCTGGTACTTCCCAGCCCTGTTCTCTTATAGCTGGGTATCTTAGGGAAGCCCTGGGAGGGAGGAACTGCAAGCCGGAAACTGAGAAGATACCAAGATGTGTACTGATATGTTTCATGAGAACGAGTTTGAAATAAGTGAAAATGGAAAACCTTAACAAAGGAGTAGAAGAGAATGGAAATGATAGAGCTTAGAAATTAAATAAGCAATGTTGAGAACTTACTAGATGGCTTCGTGGGAGAATCGGGCTAACACAAGCAAAATAAATGAACTTCACAAATCAATAGGATGCACTCGACTTAAATCAGGACTTCTTAAATTTTTCTCCTGGGGACCCCTTACCACCCCAGAAAATTTTACATGACCCCATGTATAGAAGTATATAAAATAGCTTTATAAATCAAATATTTGTTGATAAAAAAATAAACATTAAAAAATTCTCCAGGATACATATAATTTTAGCATTTCTTGTGTTTGTGCAGGGTATGTGTGTGTGTGTGTGTGTATGCACACTTGTTAATGTACATGTATGAGTGCAGGGGTGTACATACATGTGGGAATGCTTTGGAGGCCAGGTGTTGACTTCAGGTATCTGTCCTCAATTGCTCTCATGTGCATTTTTTGACAGAAAGTCTCCCGCTGAATCTGAAACTGATTGAATCTGCCAGGCTACCTTGCCAATTCACTTTAGGGATCCATCTGGCTCTTGCACTGGCAGCCCTGAGCTAGCAGGCAGATGCCAACATGCCTGGATTTTCACATAGATTCAGGGGACACAAGCTCAGGTCTTTGTGCTTACATGGCAGGCCCTTTGTTGACTGAGCTATCTCCTCAGCCCCCAGTTTCAGCATTTCTAAAAGACAAAAGTAAATTCCCATATTGCTAGCTTTTTATTTGTTTGTTTGTTTTTGTTTTTTAGGGATGGAGATGAGAGGTGGTGGATTCCAGAGAGAAGCACGGAGAGAAACTGTCTTCAAGTGAGAGCTTTACTGGTGTACCTTATGGTGGTCCTCTGAAGCAAGGGAGATTCTGTTTTGGTCCCAACAGTGTGGTGGTTTGAATGAGCGTGGCCCCGATCGGCTCTTATATTTGAATGCTTGGTCTCTAGTTGGTGGAATTGTTTTTAGGAAGGATTAGGAGGTGTGGCCTTGTTGGAGGAGTGTGTCACTGGGGCAGGCTGTGAGGTTTAAAATGCCCACACCAGGTCCAGTCTCTCTTTCTCTGCCTCCAGCTTGTGGATCATATGTGAGTTCACAGCTATTGATCCAGCACCATGCCTGCCTGCTGCCTTAATGACCATGGACTAATCCTCTGGAACTGTAAGCAAGCCCCAATTAAATGCTTTCTTTTATAAGTTGCCTTGGGCTTTGTGTCTCCTCACAGCAATAAAAAAGTAACTAAGACAACCAGAAAAAGGTGTCCATTACTAAAGGTTTGTGAAGGGAAGGGGAGGGCCCATCCAGCAATGCTGGATTAGTTAGCAGTGGCCTATACTGTCTGCTTGCAGCCATTTCCCAGGTGGCAGGGGAAGAGAGGAGATTCAGCCCTTTGTGAGAGGTAGGAGAAAAGAAAGACAGGAGATACCCAACTCTTATGTCGGGGGTGGTGTGAGAGTGGGTGTGGTCTGACCTGTGAGACCGTAAGACCCATGATCTAGCACATGCCAAGGTGGGTGTGCTTATTTGTTCTTAAATAAAGAATTCAATCTGCAAGGCATAGTTATAGACAGAACAAAACAAAACAAAAACAAAAAGCCCTCAGAAGGAGCAAGAGATGATTCATTCTGGAGCCAAATCTGAGAGCTCACGACACAGCAGCACAAATTTAGGTTACCCCAAACACCACATTCCAGCGTGGTAACAACTTTATGACATTTTTATAGCAACAGAGCGAAGAACGTTATAAATAACTTTCCAAATACCTTGATGGAAACAGCAGGTAGGCGGATTACAACTGAGCAGAGAAACCTTTGTTAAGGAATGGTATTATAAAATAATACACAGACAGCCCATGAGACAAGGACAGGTAGCTTCTCTTAATTGGTATGAAAAGACCCCATTCCCTCTCGGGAGTGTGATTTACTCTCTGTCTCTGTCTCTGTCTCTGTCTCTCTCTCTCTCTCCCTCCCTCCGTCTCTCCCTCCCTCTCCTGTGTGTGTCTGTCTGTCTCTCTCTCTGTATGTCTGTCTCTCTGCATGTCTCTGTGTGTCTCTCTTCTTTCTGTGTCTCTCCGTGTCTCTGTAAGTCTCTCTGTCTCTCTCTCTCTGTATCTCTCCCCCCACATCCCTGATGTATTTTCTGCCCATGTTCCATCTACAGCGTATATTCTTTATTAAACCTTTCATAGCAATTCTAATCTGTAGATACTTTTAGCCCTGCACTTTGGACTTTTCCCTCCTGCCACAACAGGAAATACTGTCTTTGTTTCCTTAAATAAACCATTATTTTCCTATAAGGAGATCAGCACTTTGCATAGTGAGAACACTACTACTCAGGTGGCCTTGGATCTGAGCTGGGTATTTCCGGCAGCATTTGGTGGTGAGGTGGAGTTCACAGACAGAAGTGTGAGTGCTGAGGTTCCTAAGCAGCCACTGTTCTAAAGAGACATTAAATATTAGTCTTTCCTGCCAAACACTGTAAAACCTTTGTTTGCAACAAGGAATTCAAATCCACCACCCAGTAAAACCTTTACGCAAATATTTTAACCCCGGCCCCCACTACCAGGTAAAACTTTTGTTTACACCAAGGCCCTACTTCATTTTCAGATCTGAAGTGACTTAGGTGCCCCACCTCTTCCCTCTTCCCTTAGCGTCCTTTGTACTGCTTCTTTGAAAACTAGTCAATTCTGTGAGGGGTGGGGTGTGGGGGAGTGTTGCATGCCTTTAATCCCAGCACTTGGGAGGAAGAGGCAGGTGGATCTCTGTGAGTTCGAAACCAGCCTGGTTTACAAAGCAAGTTCTAGGACAGCAGGGCTACACAGAGAAATCCTGTTTCAAAAAAACAAGAAAAAAAAAATCCAACCAGCTTAGTATCGATGTCCACACGATCCAGAAGAGAATTTGACATTGCTGCTGCTGTTGTTGCTGTAATAGCAGTGGCAGCCACTGCTGCTACTGTTTCTGGGATTAACATTTCATAATTGCTTACTACAGCTAGCACAGTGGAGACCCTGGCAGCAAAAGTAGCTACCACAGTTAGTTAATCTTTCATTCTATTGGGCATGATAAATTTAATTCAATAGTTATATGCATTTCGATTGGCTTTGAAAATTATAAATTTATAAACTCAAGTTCCATTTGCTTTTGGGATACCATCTTACAAGGACTCCAATTTGCAGTAAGGCTCATTAAGGAAGGGAATGGCTCAGTTGACTTTAGCCTCCTGGCTATGGGTGGGATAGGACCTCTGTTGGTCTTTTCTGTGTCAAACACACAGATTGTAAGCCCAGTGCACTTTGAGATTGTTGTGCCCAGATCGTGACCCCCAGAGAGACCACCAGAGACGAGCATGCCGGAATGCAAAAGCAAGGTTTAATTCTGGATATCCAAAAGCAATACAAGCCTAGGCAGGGACTTCGTCCAATACATCCAACGCAGTGGAGGCTGGAGGAAGCACCCACCTGTCTGCAAGCTCAGTTTTTAAAGGGAAAAGTCACAAGGTTACATCATTTAGGGGTGCTAGTACAGGTACAATTCTGATTGGCTCGCTTCTAGGGACTTCTAGAAATTACTTCTAAGGGAGTGGTTCCCCGCCACCATTTCTCATTGGCTGCCCTCAGGTGGGGGCATTTCTGTG